TGAAAAAATGAGAGTGAAGGGCCCATTAATCCAGCCCCATTAACGCGTCTCCAATTTAGAGTGTGACCTTTCTCTGTAATTCCCTTTGCTGCCAGAAGCTCAGGGATGTCAAAACCAGAGCACCTGCTTACTGCTGGATGGTTAATACTAAAAGTAGGAATACTAGTAGTAATAACAACAATATTGGAATTATATGGGGATAATAGAAAAGAAAATGGAAACTGCTATTAGTGTGTTGGGGTTATAGCTCCTTTTAGGCAGTCACCACGGTTTAATGACCGACATCCAGCAAGCCCCTAGGTCACAGCGGTCATGCTGGCAGAATTCCTAGGGACTAGGTATCTAGAGTCATGTAGGACATTGCTCATTACCAGTCTACACCCTAAACCCTAAACTTCAAACCCTAAACCCTAAACCCTGAACCCCAGGCCCTAAACCCTAATCCAAGCCCTAAACCCTAAACCTCAACCCCAAAATCCTAAGTGCCTTGTCTGAAAGGAAGCTCAAGTCCTTGGCCGGACGAGTGGACCGCATGGCAGGCGTCGTTTAGGGGAGAGCACCTTTACGCTACAAGTCCTTGTATGCTTGGTGCTATATGAGCTATAGTCGAAACTTCCTAAAGGGGGTTATATATAGGTGATTTTGGGGCAGTATTATAGGGGTTATGAAGGGGGATATTATGAGTTTCGACTATAGCTCATATAGATGAGTATTGCAGGGTCTTCAAATGGAGAATATCCTTTCGTATTTTATCTTGGATTTTCACGCGATTTGCCGTTTCTGATTTCCAATGGAGTGGGAACGAAACCAAAGTGATTGTACGTAAGGCGAGGCTTTTCTTGAGTCGCTCCGACGTGCTGATGGGTTTTGTCTTGTTTGTCGCCTCAGGTTTACGCATGCTTGTTTGAAGTACACTGTTGAATCCCGGAAATTTTCAAGGTAGTCACTTCTAATCTTTAACCCCCAACCCACAACCTTAACCTCAAACCCTGTACCCTAAACCCAGAACCTCAAATCCTATACCCTAAACATCATACCTCAAACCCTACCTTAGACCCCAAAGACCTTCAGTTTTAGGACCCTATAGTATAATTCTTTATATGAAATCCTAAAACTGAAGGTCAGGTACACCTTAGATCCTACACCCCAAGCCTTGGCAGGTGTCTTCGAAGAGGAGACTCGCGCTCGGCAAGAGCAGCGTCGGGTACTTAGAGAGATTGCCATGCTATGGGTTATACCTTCGATATATCAGCCATAGTCTAGACTCCTTCAAGGGGTGTTATAGAGGAGTCCCGTCCCAAAAAATTTTTGAAATGGAGACAGGGGGCGTGCTGGGGTTATAGATATCGGAGGGTTCAGGGGAACAACATAGTAGAGAACATGTACATTGCAATGAAAACTGGGATTACATAGGCAGTTACAGGGATACGGAAGCCTCAATAATGACCAATGCTCTTGTCTTATGATCCGGTATAGTTATAGTACGACGTAACCCCCCATTCAAAAGATTGCGGGCTTGGGAGCTACCACGGGTGGGAGGGTGAAGGGACCAGGGTGTTTGATCAAGACTGAGGGTTCAGGACATATGAGCTATTGTCTAAACTCCTAGTATCCCCCTTAGGTAATAACCCCTAGATAACCTCCTGTAAGGAGTTTAGACTACAGCTCATATACAGTCTGGGGATTGGGGTTGAGGGTGCGCGAGGCCTGAGACAGCATAGCACTGGAGTGTTCACAGCATGGGGTTGAAGGTTTATAGGGTTTAGGGTATCATGGCCTTCTGATGGGGATGGTTGGATCCCGGAAGGGGTGATGCACATACCCGAATGCATCCAAGATTTCCCAATGTTCAGGAATCTCTCTGGTGTGACCATGAAGACCCGTCCTCACTTTGTCGAACGCTTGGAGCTTACTCTACCCTATACGCTAAACCCCAAAGAACGGAACCCCCAAAACTCCCCTCTTCACAAGACCATGACCTTCATAGGGCCCTGCTGTGGGTCCATGTCAGTTTGGGGGAAGTTCCAACGTGTTCTTTGGGTTCGGGGGTTGGTGTCGACTGGAAGCAATACTGCCGTCAAGCTCGGCCTACTCAGACTCATACGTTTTTGACTGGGTTTCTCCTGAAATCATCGAGCGACAGGGAAGTGGAGTCCTCAAGAAAAAGTATGTTCAGGGGTAAGGTTCAGGGTTTAGGGCCGTGCTTCAGGCAGGTGACGCTTGAACCCCTGGAGTGCATACCAAATCAAACAATCAAAGCATTCAATAATACCTAACTAATGCCCTTACCATTGCTATGCTTGTTTTTTGGTCGAGATCATCACCTGTACGTAGTATTTCTATCCCAACTACAATATCTGTCACAATTATCCCATCATTAGCCACATCTCGAGGTACCCTCATGGATGAACTCCATGATGAGCAGATGAAGCGGATTGATGAGATTGGTGTGTGGAACCCAGGGTTTAGGGTTTAGGGTTCAGCCCTATACTGGGTTGCTGTTAAGGAGCTTAAATTAAGTTACCATAATGGGTACATATTCCCCTATAATGAAGAAGCAAATGGAACAGAACATGGATTAAGGAGCTTAAGTTAAGTTACCATAACGGGTGTATAGAGTAATTAATGTGGTTTCTCCGATATAGCAACTTAGATGAAGTTCCTTCCAAACCCACCTGTGTGTTCCTTTTGGGGCATAGGGTGCCAGGTTTAGGTATGTCCAAGATTGTAGAATGGCCCTGGGCCTTGGGCCTCCAAGCAGTCTTCCGTTCTTAGTACAAGATACTGTTCCAAAAGCTCAGACAACAACAACTACTGCTACTGCGGATATTGAAATCATGATTGCTACTGCTACTAGCACTGCTACTGCCACTGCTGGTACTCTGCTACTGCTACGGCTACTGCTACGGCTACGGCTACGGCTACTGTTGCTGCAGCTGCTGCTGCTGCTCTCACTGCCGCTCTGACTGCCGCTGCCGCTCTCACTGCCGCTTCCGCTCTCACTGCCGCTGCCGCTGCCGCCACCGCCGCTGCTGCTGCTTCTGCTGCTGCTTCTGCTGCTGCTTCTGCTGCTACGGTAGTTCTGTTTCTACTTCTTCTTCTTCTTCTTCTTCGTTTGCTGCTATAGTTCGTAGGCTACTAACTGCTATAGTGCTTCAGCTCAACTTGAAAGAAGGAAAAGCAGGTTCTTTCTTGAGTTTGTGCCTTCTTGAGCAAGAAGGCCAACAGACAAACAAATCAAGAAACCAGAGCAGACCCACGTGATATGATGTTAGACCCTAATCCGAAAGGGCTTAGCCCTAGACTTTCACCACAGACCCTAAACTCCAAACGGTGAGGCATGCGCAAGCGATCAACGCACCTTACAAGCTCCTAAACCCTAAACCCTAAACCCTAAACTCCTAAACCCTAAACTCCTAAACCCTAAACCCTAAACCCTAATCCCCATACCATCAGATTTGGTGAGCCGGGGGTGACGAAGGAATGGCGAAGAAAATGGAAACGGCTATAATGGGTTATAATGGGACTGCTACTGTTGATGGAAATCTTGCACCACCTTAGGTCCCTAAAGTCCTAGGAATTACAGTAGTTTAGGGCCCTTAGGTGGTGCAAGAGTTCATCCATCAACAGTATGAGGATCCATTCCCTCATTCCTAGCCAACCAAAGGTAAGTACCATCACGAGGTATTCTGATCCCGGGTACGAAGGTCCGAGGGTTGCTTGCAGGTATGTCTAGGTGGCCTGTGCAACTTTCGGATGGGGGCTTGGACTGAAGTTCTGGCTAAGTGAGGAGCCCGAAATTGATGCATTGCATTGATATCATCATTAGTTAATTGGCTAGTATTTCCAGTTGAAGTATCATTTTGAAACCATTTTGATATTATCATTATCATTAATATTATTTTTAAGTATTATGCTATCCCGACCTACCTTTATTGGTTCTATGGCGCTCATCGCGTGTCGCTTGCCTCTCATTCCTCAGTATAAGCTCGATGGCCTGTAGCGCAGGAGAAAAAGTCGGGTAGATGAAGCTTTGCAACACCCAAACTTTGGAACCGCAGACTTTGGGACCTCTACATGAACCCAGCTTCCATTTCATTTATCATGCTCTTTTCCATTTATTTCTCCAGAATTTGGGTACTACCCCGAAACCCTGAACCCTGAACCCTGAACCCTAAACTATGAAGTAGACTCTCAGGAAGAGCTGGATCAAGCGATGGCTGAGCTCGCTGCTTATATCGTGGAGTTCATGCGCCGGCCCGGCCCACAGGAATGGGATTTTCCCAACTTAGCGACGTAGGGTTCAGTTGCGGTTTAGGGATATTACAGTACGTACCCCTAAAATGGAAATCAACGAAAATCAATGGAAAACAAATGCAAAACACAATGGAAGGTGAAATGGATGCTGGGGTCATAGAGTGGTTTATATGCATTGACTTGGAGTTGGGGGAGGGAATGTAAATTCTCACATAACCAGAGAAGGCTTCAAGCATCTACCTTTGCCTTTTTCCTTCACAACCCACTGCCTGAAAGATTTTCTGAGGGTCTGGGGTACAGAGCAGTTTAGGGTTTAGGGCATTTGCTTCGAAAATACTTCAAAAAGTAGCCTAAACCCTAAACCCTAAAGGGTAGCTGGGGGCCCTGGACCCTAAATCTCTACAGGTGCGTGATCACAGGTGGGGAGGTATGTTGAAAACACACGTCTTGCGGGGGAATATTGAATCCCACAGGGTCCATGAAGCTATATGAGCTATCGTCCAAACTCCTTAAAGGGGGTTATATAAGGGTAATATTAGAGGGAGTTTAGACTATAGCTCATATTGTAGTATATCCTTGCGCCCCAACGTAGCTACAATGGAAATCGTTTGGGACAAGAATGGATTACATGGCTACGTGGGCCCTTCGCAAGAATTCTACTGCTTTGGACTGAGGGTTCGCTATGCTTTTCTGTTAGGGTTTAGAAGCCCTAGATCCTAAACTTCCCTAAGCCCTAAACCAATTTTTTAAAGATTCCCTTCTTTGGAATCCCTACAGGACCAGGCATCTTTAGGGGTGCACAGGGGGCACTCATTTGAGGATTGTCAGATGCCCGAAGGAAGACTTAATCCTTTTAAAACCAGTTTGGAATCCCTGGAATCCATCACAGTTTAGGGTTTAAGGGTTTAGGGCTTAGCCCCGGAACCCATCACTCGAACTTTTGGGCTCTAAGGCTAGGATAATGGCCACTTCGGCCGTCCAAGTCCACAAATAGTACCGAGAAAGAACCCCAAACTTCTACGGTGGATATGGCCTCCCATAGACTATAGTCCTTGTTGTAGGTCATAGGGACCTAATTTGGGGGGCCTGCTTTTGCAAAACCTATAATCCTTATGACCATTATACAATCCTAGTTTCCACTTCCATGTTGTTTTCCGTTTGATTTTCCAATCTTGAGGTAACGACTCCCTCCCGAACCTAGCATTATTTTCGTCGATACCCAAAGCCTAAACCCTAACCTGCCTTGTCCACATTTGAGGTTTAGGAAAGAGCTCCACGACACCTTCTCAGCCCTCTTTAGTGGCTCGTCTGCTGGGCTACTTACGGGACATGGGGTTTCCGAAAGTTAGGGGTCCCTTTTCAGTGTCTACGATTTAGGGCGTTTGGGTGTCTGAATTGGGGTCGCCACATTTTCGGAAACTACCATGTTGGAGGGCCGCTACCTGCCGACTTGTTGTGTAGAGCAAGCACAAACAAGTTTTTCTGCTCTTGCAGAAAACCCAGGTTTACCATATTCTTTGCAATCTCTCAAGATGCTGATGGCCCCTTCTTATGCGCTATGTGCGACTCTCCGAACCTTAGCCGGAAGACCCAGACCCCAACTACGGTATGACTGTTCCTTCCGCTGGGGTGCAGTGTACTTGATCAGCAGGAGCTATACACAGCCAAATGCGCCTATTTAAACTCCTGCCCAGATGGGAGTAAGCATGGCTTAGCATTGCCCACACGAAGTGTTGACATACGTACTTGCAGCACACCATGGCAGATAAGAAGCAGAGGTATGACAGGAAGGATAGGGACGTATGATGCAACCACCAAAGATAATTTTACTCCTGCTATGACCAGGCAGATCTCCAAAAACGTATTTCTTGCGTTGGCACGGATAGGTAATGGGATGTCATAGCTTATTGTGAGCGGCTCTTCCAACATGCTGTGTCACAGTTTATTGGGCAGGGTTCCGAACATGTGGGCTAACAGTTGTTTTGGGGTGTAGTTACACATGGCTGGTTATTGCAAGGCTTGTGTGCTGTGGTACGGACACAAAAACGTGCATTGCTTCATATTTTTTTTCGAGAATATTTGCGATGCTTGAAGAATCGTGCTCATCGCTGGCTTGCTGGCGGTAAGTAGGGAATAAGGGGATATAACCCTATAACATTCCCAGTAAGGTCGGCTAGGTTCTTGAGTACCCACGGCAGTCAAAGCTCCGATGTTCCTGAGGCGCGAGAGGGGCAAACAACAACGACTCAGGTTCAGAAAGCTTCAAGACCAAACCCTAAACCCTACTCCCAACCTAGGTGAGTAGTGTTGAAAGTACACATGCTCTGAGCCTCAGTATGGAGAGAGGGACTAAGCAGGTCAGCCCTAAACCTTCACCCTAAACTCGAAAAGCTAAACCTTTACCCTAAAGCCCTTAACCCTGGTTCCTAAACCTCGAGTTCTGCATCCTAGGCTTTTCATCCTGAATTTAGGGTTTAGGGTCTAGGTATTAAGCCGAAACCTGTTTAGCCTTGTTTTGTAGAGGACAGGGGTATATGTAGGCTCAATTATGGGGCTCCTTTCCTTGTCATTTTCCAGTTGTCCAAGGGATCCCCCACTACTTGTGACAGTAGCCCTAAAGTCTTGTTTACCCACCAAATAAGCTTCTATTTATATTGTTTTCCGTTTGTTTCTCCGTTGTTGGGGATACCCCTATGTAACCCAAGATAAACCCTACATTACCTTATACAGGGTTACACGAGCCCTATATTTATATAAAGCGTTTATGCACAGTAACCCCAATATCCCCGATTATCCTACCCTAAACCCTAAACCCAATATCTGCGCATACCCTGCAAATGCCTCAGGTGAGCTTCAAGAGCAAGTCGAGCTTCTAAAGCCGCGCTTGGCGGCGTGCTTGCCCTCAGCTGACCCTAAAGCTCCAAGTATCCCAAAATTGAGGTTTTAGGTACCCAAAGCCATTCAGATCATAGTATTTGTGGCCTAAAACTTCACTAGTTGGGTACTTCGTGAACCTCTACTTAGGTGAAGGGATTGAGGCGGGGTGGCTTCTATAGCTGACTGCGTCCTGTCTGGGCTGAAGTAGGAGATGCAAAGGAATAGATGGTAGTTCCCCAAGATACGGGGACCCCAATATACACCTCCAAATAGGTTAGGGTTTAGGGTTTAGGGTTTAGGGTCTCAGTGAAGAGCCTAGTTTCCCAAAATTAGGAGTACCTTTTTGGAAGTCCCCATCCGCAAGGAGTTGACACGGCACACGCAGTACAAACATGGAGGCCTAAACGACGCCTCAACAACAGTAAGAGCAACTCAATAGTAATCGCAGTAGTCGTAGGAAGAGGATTAGTAAGCATTATAGTAACCATGCAAAAAAGTACTGCTGCTAGTGAGTGTAACTGTATATATAGTACGAGTAGCGATAGTCAAAGTCAGAGCAACAGTAATCGCAATATTAGTCTAAACCCTTACCCCTAAGCCTATAAGTCCTCAATCCTAAGCCCTAAGCCACCCTAAACCCTAAACCCTAAACAGTGGTGGACGAGACGGACGAGGCTGCGACAAACAGGGCGGAATCGTGGCGGACTGGTGGCTGGACGGGTGTCTTGCATGCCTTTGCCCTCGCTCCGGATGAGGCCTCCGATGACCTCCGTACCGCGGCCACAGCGATCATGGACAGCGTTGCTCGGGCGTTGGAGGCTTGGATGATGAATGTCCTAATGCGCTTTTTGGGTGAACCTCGCTGTCCTGATGACGCTTGTGATGGTTGGCTTCTGAGGGGCGTACTGGCCGTAGTGGCAGGGCGGTCTTGAATGTGGTCTAGCTGGCCTGGAGTGACTGTATGTGTTGCACAGGGCTGGAGGAAGGGACGTGGCTCCTGCACGATATGTGCTTTCTGACCTGCATGCAGGCGGAAAAAGGGGCGGCAAAAAAAAAAAACTAAATCCTAAGCCCTATACAAACCCCGAACCCTAAACTGTGTGGGCTGGCGAGCAATCTCACTGAAGGCTTGAAGCTCGGGGACGAGTTCTGCAGGATGGTATAGAGGAGGAGCCATCTACTTGGAATGAGAGAAGGGAATCCTTTAGGAGGACCCCCCACCCTGTATATAGTGGTAGAATAGGAATATAATAGGACCCTAATATAATCCTTATTTCCCGTATAGTCACTATTACAGGGTGGGGGGTCCTCCTAAGGAATCCTGTTGTAGTCGCTAAACCTCACTCGGCAAAATAGCACGACCTCACCAGACCTCGCCTTGATTACCTGAACCCTGAAAGTATGTAGAATAATAGCCTTTTGGGCTGTTTTTAGGGGCTTGGGGCTATTCTTTTGGGGTCCAGGTACTCCCAAATGTGCAATTAATTTGGGTCTCTGAATTCCATATAAACTGGCCAGATGCAATTCCCCAAGTAGGAGCTTGTGAGGCCAGGTTTTCGGGGCCAGGAACTATGAACATGGCATCGAACAGTTCATTGAATTCATCAACGTAACTGTCCGCCGCAGTGGGATCTGCTTTAAGATGCAGAAATGAAAAGCTCAAACTTGCTGGTTGTCAATAGGAAAGGAAAAAAGGCAAAATAACATGGAGCCCACCACCCGAAACCCTGAAATCAGGTTTTGGTGATTTTTTGGGGGCCTGGGCTAGTGTAGGGATCCCTTCCTCAATTCTTTACCACAAACCAGCGAGCAACTTTCTGGTGCCCAAATTCAGCAGCTTGTGTCCTTTCATGCAAGTTCTCAGGGAATGGAACAGAAAGTGGAAACTACAATGGTGGGTTACATGGGCGTATGAAGGCTTGTGTAGGGTTAGTGCGGATCCTCCACTATGAGTTTCGCTAAGAACCAAAAAGCAGCAATAGACACGGGAAATGTTGTACCCTCCTGATTTGGGGTCCTACAGGTTGTCTCTCACACCAACAGTATAAGATGTAGGCTAGGTTTCGTGGATTCATAGCATGTGCTGTAGAGGGAAGGTGTTCGTGGACCAAACGACTTTGTCTTGCTGCTTGCCCGCAGGGAATGAAGAAATGGAAAGAACATGCAACTTACTCTTATGGAGCATCAAGGAACATGAAGTGGACACCCTAGGTATATAGTGACTAGATGGGGACATATAGGGGAATGGACAAGAAAACGGAA